AAGGTGAGGTGAGTACTATGGAAGTAGTCGAATATGACACGTACAGTGGGGTGTTGGTAGTTTGAAGTCAGAAGTCAACTACCGATTGATAAACATTTTTGCCGTATGAGTATACGTTGCCCAGAGGGCACCACGCGGAGGAAAGTCTATCGCACACCCAAATTCTGAACGCATTTACCAAGTCATTTAAAGATTGGATCATGACAGTGGAGTGTTGAAGGAGTTTTCCCCGAATAGAAATGCAAAAAAATAGGCCACTCAGTGCTTCCAAAGTTCAAGTAGATTACTACTCACTTAGTAAATTTTTTCCTATTTCACAGAATCAAATGTTCGAATGCCATAAAAGCTTTCCTGTCTAATCATGTAAAAGAATTTGTATTATCAATAAATTTATCTACACTTCAAACGTGCATTTTCATCAATATTGTCAGAATGATTAAAGAATTTGGCTTTATTTATTTCATAATAATTTTTAGTTTTCGATAAATTTCATCACAAATCTTAGACCGTTTCAAAAATAGAAGTCTTAAAAATTTAAACTAGCAATTTATTTCATTAAATTGAACTCTGGTTTTGACGTTTGAACTTTGAGAAGACCGATATTGTACTACTGTACTCGACCATATTTAAAGAATTTAATTAGATTTCTATAAATTTCCTTTCCTTCATAAAAGTACCATTCAGCTATTTTTCCTTATGATCTGCGTCAATAATATGTAGCCTTGATAAAAATGGCCAGGTGTGATTCGTATACTTTAAATTAATATTAATATAGCAATTAAATAAGCTGAAATGTCGGAATAACCAAAAATGTCACCGTTTTTTCCCAATAAATTACTCCCAGGTGCTTGACAGAAGGTGACAGATTTCAGCAGATCAGTTCATAATTTATAAACTTTTAACTAATTAGAATTTACCTCTAATTTAATCATTTTCAGTATCAAGCTAAAATGTCCAAAATGTTATATTGTCTAGCATTAATTTTGAAGATTTACCCTAAGTTTCAGTTTTAGAATTTTCGATAGTTTTAAGATAAGTAGTAAGCCAAAGTACTGTAGGCACTTGGAACTTATTAAAAAAACATTGTACACTTCCTTATTAATAAAAAATTGAATTAAATTTTCGACAAAAGACTAATGGGTAATTTTTGAATTGACAATTTTGTAATTATGAGGGGTCCAGTAAGATTGTCTCATTTATATATATAAAATAAAAGCATTAAAGGAATTATGGACTTAAGCCGAATTTTATTTATATCTTCTGCTTTCAGTTTAATTCTTTTCTCGTCACATGAAATTTCCTTTTAATGGATAGATTTAAATATCACGATTAATTTCAAGGCAGACGAGAAAGGGGGAGAGGAGAGGGAGGGGGGTGGGGAGGGGGGGAAGGGACAGTTTTATTTTTTTTGTTGTCAATAATGTGCGTTAATGATTTTGAAAATGAGTAAAAAGAAAGGAACACATAGTGGGTAGAGGTGTGTATTTAATTCGGGTCTGAGGAGACGGAACCAGCACCAATTGGGGAGATGAAACGTTAGATTACAAAACAGAGGCTAAGTAACTTCACTCTTGCATCTCTTTGAGTCAACCTGAAAGAGGGTGAAAGAAAAAGTTAATAAGATTTAAGAGGAGCGCAAATGCTTTCTTTTTGCTCAACTTAAGGGCGCATTCAAAAACATTGTGTATTTTGAAAGGGAATACATTTGTGAATTAACAAATTATGGGAAAATCATTGCTGTTCATTATTACCTAAATTTCCGAATTTTAATTAACATCTTTGGTTCAAATAAATTTTTATTGATTTTGCTTAGTATGTAGCTTTTATTTTAATTCAAAACACTCATTTATTTATGATTAATAATAATAAGATATCTACTTTGGTGGTGAAAAGATCGTTTAGATTAAAATGCTTTTAAGTCTAAATTATTCATTAATTAATTTAGGTCTATATTACGCTTTTAACCTAAGCTTAAAAATTTGCTTAATGACAGATTATGTATTTTTATATATTAGTGACCTCTAGCGTAGCAGTTCGTCAATATAATCAGGTTATATAGATTTGAATGTCAACATTCCACACCCTGTACGCGAAGCAATAGCTGCACTTTTAAAGCTTAGTGATAAAGGAGGTGATGAAAGTGCGTATTTGAGGAAAGAATTTCCTTGAAGAGTCTACTTTATCATGGTTGAAACCAGCATAAATGGGTTTAGAAATCACATAGAAGAACATGAACTGGTCCCAATACTGTCGAAAAAAATATTTTTTAATGGACGTGAACTGAACGATAAATGGTAATCTTACCGAGACGTGAATGGAAATTGTAAAATCGTTTGCCCAATCTGGAGAGGAATGGCATGCGTTTCTCCATACCATTCTCCAAATATCCATCATCATGATCATCATCATCATTATCAGCTAACATACGAAGGTACTCTTGATAGCTCAGTTCACCCAACATATCTTCTGGACGAGCGGGGCTTAATACGCCCCGGGGTGCAGCGTTGACCTCCTCAAGAACACAAAGAAGCGCACAGCAGAGTAGAATCGGGAGACAGATCTGTGACACAGAAGAGGCGAAAAACTAAAATATATAAAAGACGCAGCAAGTCTACCGTCATAATTATATTCAAGCCACCAAACACCTTTGCTTTCAATATAGAATGGACATGAATTCACTTTTCTTCTAATTGAATTTGGCAGGGAGAAAAAGACACATTTCCAAAAAATAAAATGAATTAAAAAATCTTAAAATTTATGAAATGGAAGGAAGGAAAGAAACATTACGGCTCATTCACACTACGTGTTTTTTAAAAGTTATCTATTTGGATTGAAGAAATTATATCATTAATCTTTGATTTAAAGGAATTATTTTTAATTGGACCTAAATATATGTGTATTTTAGGATTTAGAAGCGAGGGAATATACCAACTAGGTATTTACCCACCGAACTAATTAGTAAAAATCTATTAGTGAACAGTCTTTCTTTTCTTGCGGGTTTTGGTGCTGTGTAATAAAAGAGACAAAAATATATATAATAAATTGAAAAAATGGCACCAAATTTTTGTCCAAACTACAAAAAGCAACAAAATACTTCCTAGGGCTATTGAAGAGTTAGTTATTTTTCTACTATTTATATGAAATGATGAACAATAAATCTTTAGTATGAGGTAAGCCATTATTGAAATAATTATTTAATTGATGCCTAATTATGTGGTAAAAACAATTTTCGTGCCTGCTCTATTGCCAAAACTTCCCACTTTAAAAAAACGATAGCATTTCATTATTTACATGTCATTGAGAGGATTAAATCAATAAAAAACTTACATCTTTCATTTTGTTAAATATTCAACGTAAAAATTCATGTCGGTATCGCCTCATATACCCATTTATATGTATAAGGAAAATGATATTTCACGTTGATTGGTCACTATCAGCCAATCAGAGAGCGGCAAATCCATCTTCTTAGCTGAAATTCACAATATGCACGAAATTTTTGTGATATAATAATATCTCAATAGCTGTCTTTTAATGAAGTAAGAGATGAGTTCCGATATAAAGAAGATAGACAAAGTATTTTGAATTAAGGCAGATTGATCGTCAGATAAAGAAAGAATACTTATTTGCTGATCTATCTAATGATAGATCAAATCTTGAGAAAAATTTTAACATTCCGCTAATTGCATTGTTATTTACCTTCACGTGGTGCACACTGGGCAACGTATACTGATACGGCAAAAAAGCCTATTAACCCGCAGTTGACTTCATACTACCATGACCCCACTGTATGACATATTCGACCACTTCCTTAGTACTACATCACATCTTTTCTAAATGTTCAACCTTCGTCTTTGAAATACTCTTCAGTGCCCCTCCTCTCGACTTTTTTTCACTTTGATGTTCCTTCCTCTCTGTGAAGCCTGAAGTCAACTAAAGGGCTAATGATAACCATCAAAACGCCTGCCATTTTATATGAATAAATAAATATTTCTTTTATATAATGTTATTTTGCTTATATGTTTTATTTATATCCACCTAATTGCGCAGTGGCCTCAATGATGCGATTGCGTAAAAGCAGCTATACCACACCCATATTGCCATAAAGTGAATCTTATTTTTTCCAATTGTAATGGAATGAATTTATTTTTTGTTTAAATAATGACAAGAAACTGAATTGGGTTCCCAATTAGGAGATGGAATCAAAAATGACGCTAAAGTCGCGTCAAGATTACGAAAAATCTTACTTAATGTAACTTCTATTGGATCTGGGTATTGAAATTGCAGCGATGTATCCAGACCACGTTTCGAAATTTAAATTTAATCAGTCGTCGTCTGAATTATCATAGACAAATTTTATTTGTTTATATGCCAGAGTTTGTAAACAGAGAAAACACAAAAAACATCCAAAACAAAGATGAGATCGCCAAAAGGTTTTGTTGTCAGATCACCGTAAATCAGAATATGCACATTAAGTGATATTTTTAGATGACATTAAAATGAAATACTACCTCTACCCCACGCGAACAAATCAGAAACTTGTATTCAATATGTGAATAATATTTCGATAAAAACGTCTTTAGGCAAAAAGAATAGAAATCAGCGCAGAAGCCTTCTATAATTGCTCTAATTGTGAATTAAATTGAGTTAAAAAATACATTCATACAACTAAGCAAAAATATATGGATATTTATTGACCAAAATAATGAGTTCATAATTAATCTGCAAGTGCAAGAATATTCGCTTTCATGTGAATGGAGTTGACGCCATTTGCATTACCGCCTCCATTCTCATATATTTGCTCATATGTTTTTTTTCGCTATTCAAAATGTTATATCAAGCAAGCCGAATCAAAATTAGTTTTTTTCTAACAAAATATCATGTTATATCACGAAAAAATTAAATAAATATTTATTTATTTCAAATGGCAGGCGTTTTGATAGTTATCATTAGCCCTTTAGCTGAATTCGGGCTTCACAGGGGGAAGGAACATCAAAGTAACAGAAAGTCGAGGGATGGGGAACAGAAGAGTGGTTTACAGTTGTAAAAGAGACTTACACAAAGGCAGAGAAAATCTAGGATGATTACTGTGGAAGTGGTAGAATATGGCATCCAGTGGGGATATGGTAGTTTGAAGTCAGAAGTCAAATGCCGATTAATAGACTTTTTGCCGTATGAGTATACGTTGCCCAGGGTGCACCACGTGGAGGTAAGTCTATCGCGCACCCCAAATTAAATAAATAATTGTCAGACTAAAGCAGGGTTCACGATCTGTGATACCATTGTCACTTGTCTTACATTGCCAATCAACTGACTCAAACCCAATCATACTTCTTTGAATTAATTTATCAGGTTTGAACATTTAGTAATTGAAGTGTCACAATGCACCTGATGGAAATATAAGTAAACCACATAGCTTGAATAGTTTAAATAAGGCAAAATGTTTGATACCTTGAAAATATTTTCACTATCTCTCACTCCTAGAGTCATTATTCAAATGCAATTAAAGGATTAAAAGTTTTGTTTTTAAGTTTTATACACTGACGTAAGTAATGATATTGCTATCGGTTTAAATTGAGTAATAGTTAATTCACACTTCCTTAATTTACGAATTAAATTTTTCCATTTTTTAAAATCACTTTTGTTTCCTTAACTCAGCTCATAAGACCGACAGGACTAAGTGATGAATGGTTTAACACGGACGTCTATTAATCTTTAACTCGAAAAGTGAAATTCATTGTTTTATGACATAATGGGTGAAGGGGGGGGCTGGTGGTGGGGACAAACCTCAAACCCCTTTTAATTATTTCAACTTTATTTGCCGATCCACTTTTATTTTTCAATTCTTCAAATATTGCTACAAATAGAACAGAAAAAAAATCCGAACAGAAATTTCAATTTTACATTTTTGCTCATTGATATGTGCATTGGGTTTTCTTTTTTCTCTCTTAGAAGTTGTCCCTACTATTAGGAGAAAAAATTTGCAAGTCCATTAAGGCGGGAGTTAATAACCCTGTACCTGGGTAGAGTAAAAGTAACCCAATGCAGCTCATTTGAAAAAAAACTTCTCTTCAAATATATATATATATATATACACGGCTAAATAAGCAAACTGCTTATTTTAATAGCTCTAAAAAACAAAAAAATATTTCCTAGGCTTCCTAATAGATAAGTCCAAATCCGAGAAATATATGAATACGTGCTTGCTAGATAAATTTAAAGTCAACGTGAGTGGATGATTTTGTTCGTTTAAGGCTGAATTGAAAATATAATAATTGCCAACTCTCAGGCTTCATTTGGGCTTCAATGCTGATTTTAATTTGAAGAGGTCGATGACGAGTTCAAAATGTATTTAGTTGCAAAAAATGAAGATTTGTGTCTTTTTTAAACAAATTAATTTATTTAATTGATGTCAAATTAGTAAAGACCCATATTAATTACCAGAGTATAAGGATAATAATCTTAAAATCAATTTAATCTCACTAAGATACCCTCCCTATTAAATTTTAAAACGAGTTCATTAAAACAAAACTAATTTAATATGCTGAACTTTTTTATGAAGACTACTTATAACTTCGCATTTCCTCATAACATCGTATGTAATTTCAGTTTTGTTGTGGTTTATTTTAGCGTTAAAATTTTGTCATTATTATTGTTGCGAAATCTTTGATATAAGAACGAATTGGAGCATTAATGTAGAACTAAATGGACAGAGTTATTGGAAGTAAAGTTCTTTTCAGGTTAACGAGTTAGGCTAAAAGAAAACACATGGTCGGGCTTGCATCGCGAAAACTTATTCCGGTTCAACTTGAAAAGCGTTGAGTGTTAAACTAAGCAATTTTAGAAGGTAAATTTAACCATAATCGATAGTTCATTAGTAATTGGAAGAAAGCATAAAGCAATGAAAGCAAAATAATTTCATCAAAGTCATATTTTTACTTTTGAGTTGTGTATGATTTAGTAGGTGGGGTGTGCGATAGATTTACCTCCATGTGGTGCACCCTGGGCAATGTATACTCAAGCGGTAAAAAGTCTATTAACTGGCAGTTAACTTCTGACTTCAAACTACCTTGACCCCATTGTATGTCATATTCGACTACTTTCACAGTACTCATCCCACCTTTTTCCACTTTTTTGTCTGTCTCTTTTACATCTTTGAAACTCTTTTCTGTTCCCCCTCTCCCTCTCGACTTGTTTCACTTTGATGTTCCTCCTCTGTGAAGCCTGAAGTTAACTAAAGGGCTAATGATAACTTTCACAACGCCTGCCATTTGATATAAATAAATGATTTAGTAGGTTGATATATTTATTTATATTAAATGGCAGGCGTTTTGAAAATTATCATCAGCCCTTTACCTGACTTGGGACTTCACAGAGGG